GCATATGATGCTTCTCCTGTCCAATTCTAGGACAAGTGTCCGATACAGGACACAGTGCTCATCTCCATTTCTTGGCCGAGGGAGCCAGCATTGTCCGAAGACAATTTCTGTGGTCATGTGGCCAACATGGCTATATGCCAAAGGCACATGGAAGCTGTTACCTTCCCATCGAAGTGCTACCTATTAATCTACTTGCATTTGCATTTGCTTTCAAAGTGCTGGGCGGCAGGAGCTGGAGCAAGTAACAGGAGCTCATCCCATTGTGCGGAGCTCAGGTCTCAAACCCAGGCTGTCAGTTCTCCAGCTGACAAGCTCAGTGTCTTTAACCGCTGAGCTATTGTGCTTCCGATTATCGTGATGCAATTTCATAGATGCTTGGTTATGTAACCTACGTGTAATTTATAGATTCCTGTACAAGACATCCTGGAATCTCATTGTAGTTTGTAAACCTTTCTAACTTTTTAAAATTCCACTATACAGTAAAAGCAGTGGGGGGAACTTTTTTGGATTTTTTGGGGACTCTTATGAGGTTAAGACACAATTTCACTTTTGGAATGAAAACACTGCTCCAAATCATGGAGAGGAGAATGCACATTCAAAACCTATGTTAAGGCTTGCCTGTACCTGTTTTAAGTGAAAACCAACATCCTTAATTTTATAGATGTACTGAATGTACTATGTTGCAAATTTCTGCAAAAACCCAGCTAGTACCATGACTTCTATCACAATAGAAGAGATCACAATAGGACAATGGTGGTGAACCTATGGCATGGGTGCCAGAGGCGGCACTCGGAGCCCTCTCTGTGGGCACACGTGCCATTGCCCCAGCCTTGCCTCCCCCCGTGACTCCCCCCTCTCCAGCAGCCCCCCTGAAGGAGAGTCGTCCCTGAGCGTGGCCCACCCGGAGCAGCGCAGCCAAGGACATGGCAGCCAGGCAGCGTAGACAAGACTCTGCCCTCATACCCCATCATGCACAGTTGATGCTGCGCAGCACGGGCAGAGGGCGTGACCGCCATAGCGCTGCTGGGCTGCCTGGGCTATCTGCGACGGGCCCTGGAGGTGGTGAGTGGCCCTGCGGGCAGGCAGGGCGGGGGATGGGGGGTGGAGTAGGGGGTAGAGCAGGGCGGGGCCAGTTTTTGGGCACTCGGTCTCTAAAAGGTTCACCATCACTGCAATAGGAATTTACCTAGAACAAAATGGCTGGAAAGGAAGCTCCTTTACTCAAGTTCTTTTATCTCAATCATCAAAGTTGAATTAGGGTGCATTTTCACTTTGTATATACAAAACATCTGAGCATGAGGAATAGAAAATATTTCTGGGATAATTAATAATTATCCCTATCTCAAATGAATTTTGAACATAGCGAGTTCCGCTTTAAATTCAGTGCATATAAAGTTCTATTTCATATAACCCTTCATTAAGATAATTTATCCCTTAAAGTCTTTTCTCTCCATATGGAAAGATAATTTCTATGATTTTCATAATTAATTAAAAGTAAATACAGTTTGGAGTTAATCTAGGTTGCAGAAATAGGCAAATTCTGGATTCTAACATTTTCTCCATTGGCAGACTCTTTCCAGGTTGAGCTTTCTTATTCTTATCAGCGATATGCAAAATTTTGTTTTTCTCACAAGGGTCAGAGTTACACAATCTATGTAAACCGATGCCATCTTCAATAAAAGCTTAATTTCTTAGTGTCATCCATCAACACTGGATGCCAACCAATGAGCAGACAAGAATGCAGGTTGCGCCATTGTGCTCTTGGAATGAGGCGAATGTGGGTCAGAAAATGAAAAATAAAAAGGATGTTTTACATTCGCTAAACAGTTGAGTTTAAGGTTGCTGTTTTTATTTTAACAGCTGCCAAACTGATACACTTCACAAACTTAATCAATTGACTTTTTCATTATAATCTGAAGAAGAGATCATATCTATTTTAAGCTAGTTCTTTTAGAATGGTATATATCAGGGGTGTCAAACTGATGGCCCGCGGGCCGGACGCGTCACGAGGAAACTGCGTCCACCCCATTGCCGGCAATGGGGGAAAAGCTCTGATACGTCGCGTGACATCACGTGATGTCACGAGTTTGACATGTCTGGTATATATGTTTTTAATGCAAATCTGGTGAAGGGGCATCGAAAGCCGTTTAAGAGTGGGTGACATATACGTGGATAAAATGCATATAAATTAGAGCTGTCTGCTGGATTCTATGACTTGATCTGATATCCCTTGAAATGTTGCTCTTTCTTCATACAGGAGCCTCAAGTACTAATTCTTCACAAAATAATGCATCCTAGGAAAAAAAAGTTTTTTAAAATTTTCTTCTGCTATAGGATTACTGAATAGGAACACTGAGTAAAAAGCTTACCCTGCATGTAGGTATTAAGATTTGATATTGCACCAAGATGCTGTGGCATATCTAAGCCATTTAGATTTAGCTTTTGAGGGACGGCTCCTGCACTAGATAGTTTGAATTTAACTTAAAAACCTAGGGGAAAAAATAAACCGGGGGAAGTACGTTCAAAAGAAACATGAACTATTAAAAGACCTCTGCACCACAGGATTCTTTCCCTTCAACTTTTGTTTATTGATGTACTGAACATGAAAAAGTACAAAGGATCCAAACACAAAAGAAAACATGTACAGCCTCTTTTAAATACTCAACAGAATATATTTTTCTACTCCAACAGATGTGAATTAAGTCATACTGTACAACTTCAAATAAATACCAGCCTTACATTTTATTAAGTGCTCTGTTAAACAGTGTAAAGTGAAACCTGATAGACATGCCTTCTCCCCAATGCCTTTTGTTCTTGCTACCCTAGAATATAGTAGCAGAGAGTATAGCTACATTTTCCCCTCCCCACAATGGATCTCTTTATTGTTATTATTATTACTATTGTTCTTTTCCAAAGCAGAGTGTTTGTGTTAGTACAGAACAATTGCTCAACGCACCTCAAGTGAACGTCTTTCAGAAAGTCAATCAATTTGAACAGCATTGAATGGGGTCTAGCATGAACAATCGCTTTCACTTTAGCACTCTTCTTCCAACAGTATTATGTACTGTACTATACTGAAAATTTATAACTACGATTTTTTAAAAAAGAAATAATCAAAAAAAGCAACTGCAAAGATCATGTACAAGTATGTTATGCATAGCACATTGCTTGTTCTAAGGGGAAGCATGTGAGCATCTCAGTTTATACAAAAAGCAGGACGTAACTATATAGTTGTCAGGGCATCCCGGTGAAGGCACAGCAGCCTTCAGCTTTTTAAAAATTTATTATAAGCTAGATGCTAATCAGAAAATATTTGTACTTTTTTGACCTTAAATTTCTTCCATACATGGTAAAGACTTTATTATTTCCCCAAATAAGTGATTTTAAGCATCATACAAAGTTAAATTTCAATAGCATACAGGTATTTATGATTCTGGTATGAAAAATGTAAGGAATTTGTTCAAAACCTATGGTTATACTCATTTTTTTACCACAAACATATTTATAAACAAAAAAGTAGCATCACCATAAACAGCTGAAGCTAGACTATCTACAGACAAAATTTGCAACGTATCTGATCCACTGTAAATTCAAGTCCTCAGGACAACAAAAATGAATAAGCAGACCTCAAGTAACAATCTTAATGCCATTTACAAAGAAAAAAAAATACAAAAACATTTGAACATCACTTGGCATGTTAAGTAAAGAAAATAAAAAACCAGAAGAAAACTCGAAGTATTTAGCTGAAAAGAGGTTCATCAACAAAAGATCTTATTTACATTACACAAAGCTCAGGTGTTAGCCTTGAACGTAACTTTCAAAATACCTTCAAATATATCCAATGCAAGACTGTTTCTTCCTGGTCTGCCACTATGCAAACCATGTGCAAACATCTTTTTTTTTTTCTTTTAAGACAAAACAATTCTTCAAACAATACTGCAAGTACATCACTAAACACCATGAGCTCTATCTGAAGGGAATTCTATAGGAAGAACAGATTTTTCCCCCATCTCAGTTAATTTAAATTTCTTGCCTGCTCTTATATACTTTTAAATTTTCTTCTGTTTCAAAATCACAAGTTTAATGTGAGCCATCTATCACATAGTAACCAGGATGTTCAGAGATTGCACCAACGATTACAAAACCAAAACCAGCAGTGCTTTCTCCCAGTGATTCCATTTCTTGAGTAACAAAGATCTCTTAAAGAATTTCTACATCATAAATCGCTCTAAAGTGTTTTTCCCCCAACCACTGCAAATATCCTGGTAAGTTTTAAAAGCTCACTAGGTGTCATATGAAGAGATTTCTCAAAGTATTCAAGTCAAAATATTTGTTCCAGGACCTGTAAAAAGTTTCTCCAAATTTTCTCTTTTTTATAAAAATAGATGCTTTGTTTTTTTTTAAACCCACATCAAAGAGGCTCTTATCTCTTTGGCAAGGTACAGCTTTACGAAAAGTTCTCCATTAATCTTACAATAGGCTTTTATAATGCACCCCCCCCTTCCCCAACCCAAATCATAATTACAAAATAAATATTCTTAAACTTTATAAATAAAAATGTAAACTTCAAAACACTTCTTGAACAGACTAAACAGCAAGGCATTAAAGTGTAACTCAAACACAACATAAGGTTAACTAACTCAGGAATTTTAACACAAAGCCTCAATATCTACTCACAGGTTCAAGGCAGTCGTGTAAAAGAAAATTTCTTCCCTCAGCTCAAACATTTTTTAAAAGGTCCACCTTCTTCAAAGAAGGTAATAGAATGCATTGTGACAGGTAAAAACCCTGTACCTCTTGTCCATATTCAAACATAAGATATTTAAGAAGTTTAATTCAAATACTAGCAATAAAAAATCTTGCAATATTTCTTAGGATGCTAGTCTGTTATTCCCCCATCTCAACACTGACTTACAAAGACATTTACTAATGTATAAAGTTTCTTTTAACTTGCCTTTGTCGAATAGTTTTCAAATATAAATTGGGCTGAGGACACCTCATTAGGCTTTGTGCGTTTTGTTTGTTTTAAAGGAAACCTGCAAGACTCTGTCTCCAAGGCGGTATCCATTCAGGCTGGCTATTGCCATGGCGGCTTCGTCATAGTTTGTCATAGTCACAAATCCAAAACCTTTGCACTTGTTTGTGTTGAAGTCGCGGATAACCTTCACATTTGTCACGGCTCCGAAGGGTCCGAACATTTGCCACAGGATGCTCTCATCTGCATCAGGAGCTAAATTGTACACAAAAATGCACCATCCGGTTCCCGCATGTCCTGGGATATTGATCCCAGCCAAACTGGTCATTCCGTCAATGGTCATTGGAGAAAACCTGCTAATCAATGTAAAAAGGTAAAAAAAAAAAAAAGAGAGACAAAATACTTTTTTTAGAAAAAAACTTTTTCAAGATTAGAATGAAACCTATTTTTATATATCAACATGCTTTAAGAAACTTAAATCAAGTGCCTTTCTGCCTACATCTTGTGGATCAATTGTTTCTTCCTTTAAGTGTGCTTTTTTGTTACATTCTTTACAGACATATACAAAGGCAGTCTGGCGTAGTGGTTAAGATGCTGACCTAGAAACCAAGAGACTCCGAGTTCTAGTTCTGCCTTAGACATGAAAGCCAGGTGAGTGACTTTGGGCGAGTCTCCTTCAGCCCAACCCACCTCAGAGGGCAGTTGTGGGGAAAACAGGAGGAAGAAGGATTATTAAGTCTGTTTGCTACCTTGAGTTATTTATGAAGAAATGAAGGCAGGATAAAAATATTTTTTGTTTTTTAAAAAAGCACTTGATTAATGTTATAGTGTCATTTGACCAAAGGTATGTGCCACTTATGCGACTTGAAGAAAATACTAATTTACTGTGAACAATAAAATATAGTTCTCACGATGCCCTGTAGTAAGTCTTTCTCAAGTCAGATTATTCTGCTTTCTGCCTGGGCTGGGGGCAAGCTGACTAATTCAATTACTTTCAACCCTGACAGAAAAACAAATTATAGTCTGCTATGCGAAAGTCTAAGGAATATTTGTGATTGCCACGTTTGGAATGTGGTTAACCAAGGATCTTGAGAATTTGCTTTTTGTGCGTTGGGCATAATGCAAACAAAAAGATTATATAAAAGCCAAGTGGTTTGATTTTAACAACTAGCTTTGTTCAAAACTCTAGATCTATTACCAGATGAGTGGATTTCTCCCACCCCCCAAGATGGTTCCAAATCCCAGTTCTCCAGAGCATGGGCTGCAGAGGCTCTGTTGAAAGAATCCATCTACTAAAAATTCATGTTGTGCTTTTAGATGAGGGGTCTTCAAACAGTGTGCCTGGCTGAGGAATTCTAGGAATTGAAGTCACAAGTCATAAAAGGGCCAAGTTTGAAGACCCCTGTTTTAGACAGAACCAGACAGAAATCTCTATTGTTTTCACTAAGGACTGGCTAGTATTGTCTTCTTTTAAAAAGAGAAAGGAACAGTCAGATTTTTGCTTATAGTGCTAGTATATTCAATTTCAGGAATCCTTTGTTTAGTTCCTTTTTAAAAAAAACTTAGTAAAATACTAAGTCATCTTTGTGTAAAATATTTTTTTTCCAAAGGACAATTATATTAACAATGGTAAAAAAGTAAAAAGCACATTGTTGCCTTCAATTGTTCATATTCAGTCTTTATCGTGTTGCTTCACCATGCTCAACATTGCATTTAGCAAATTATTTAACACAACTGAACAGAAATTCAACAGGATTTGTTCAACAGGAAAAAAAATAGCTTCAAGATTTATGATATTACATCTAGCTTTTGGTGGGTGGCTATATAAATTTGTTAAGAGAAATAAATAAATTAACTTTTTTAGGTAATTCAACATACTTGATATGGTATCTTTAATGTTGCTCCATATCTGTATCTGCTTGTTGTACAGAAAGAAGGTGACAAAACAAAAAACAAAAACTGGTGGTGGCCTCTTAATTGTTAAAAGGTCCTTTAAGTATATAAGACCTCTGAATTCTTTCAAAGTGAAAGATAAATACAAAGGATTCCAAAATAAATCATTTAAATGGCAGGTAACTGGATGCCCTAAACAAGGCTAGAAAGCTGATAAAGGAAGTGATAAATGGAAATGAATCATTGTTTAACCTCTGTACATGCAAAAATCACTCAAGTTAAATCGAATACATGAAGAACCAATACTTTTAGTTCAAACAATAAGTTATTAGTAAAGTTAATTATGTATCTAACACAATTTGTCATTACCTCTTTACTCCGTAAGCCATATTGAGCAGATTGTCCAACCTGCAAAACACATTTAGCAAAGGTTTATTTAGCTTTTCAATATTTTACTTTATGTTATGTTGCTAGATTTTCTGAACTATACTGTGTATGCAAAATTGTAGTTGTGCAATGATAATCCACTGGCATTGCTTGAATTTTGCTGAAGAGATACTGCCCACAAATTCTCATAAATACAGCTTCACTTCAGTTGACATTAGATAATTATGTAAAAAAAGGCACTCAGGCTCAGCCTTTTAATTCTGGATGAGCAAGGCCATTAGGCATGTCTGAAGTGATACTATATACACATTAACATAGTTCAGATGCTATATTTAATATAGTGATCCTTTTAGGAATATATGAGCATCAAAGACTAAACAATTTTGTCAATATTTTCATGCCTTTCTCTGAAAACTCATTGGGATGAATGAATGAAAAGTATGTCTGTGTGTGCAAGAGACATTATTCTGCAGAAATTCTACTAGCAATTTTATTTGTCCAGCTTTTAGATTATGATTGTATGATTACAAACTTATCTTGATGCTCTGTACATTTTAAGATGTTAAGATTTAGCCTTGGTTAAATGCTAACTGCCAGAAACTGCAGCTATGTTAGAAATCTATCATTTCAGCATAAAGGAACAAAGGAATCCCAATTTTCTTTTTTTTTAAGTCTTAACCTTTGATTCATCACAAAGTATGAGCTTCTTACAAACCAAGTCGTTAGTTGTTTGCTCCAATGTAATGCAAATGATGCTTAAGGTAATGCTGGATTTAAATAATTGCTGAGAAATCAAAGCAAGTCAGGCTATAATATTAACTATATTCTATGACATTAACTTTTATAATATTAACTATATTCCTCAGTTAATTAAGGTGATTGTCTTTATGAGAAGAGGAGAACATATGCATATGCATTGCAAAACTGGCTCCCATATTTTCTTTTAAATTAACATCAAGAGATATTTTAGATGTGTCCCCGGTTCAGTATTTTCCCCACTTCCAGAAAAAACTACAATGTGCAACTTACAAGAGAATGCAAATATATGCAGCCTTTTGGAATGAAAAGAGCATCTGGAGTTGCAGTGCTTGGTTAGACTAGACCAGCAGCTCCCAACCTTTTCTATACCCTGGACCCCTAGAACGCTTCTGATATATTCTCGCACCCCTTACAAAAGTTCGACATAACGGCAATGAATTATGCACATACACTATAATTTTGAAAACCCAAGTTTTCGCACCCCCTGGAATATTATCTTGCACCTCCAGGGCGTTGGGATCAGCCCCAGTTGGGAACCCCTGGAGTAGACTGTGGGCTGTTATATTTAAAGTTGCTGCTAATTTTTCTTTTGTCTAAACTTTGTATGCTTCAACTGTTATTGTCCTTTAAAACACCCTTATTGGGGGGGGGGGGTTTACATCAGAAGGAAATACTGCAGTTCAACGATCTGTCAGTATCCTGATTCTGAGACTCAGAAGCATAAGTAAGCAATCTAGTTTACGATAATCGAGTGGGCAATGCCAAAAGTTTTATTATATAAACCGAAACCTTTTCTTCATGAACACTCACACGGATGCTGAGTCATTGCTTTCAAAACTAGAACAGCTTTAGCTGTGACATAAAATGTGGTGACTTGAAATTCCTAGAATATTGGATATTAAAAAAATATGGTAGGTACATTCAAACAATTCTCCTCATTTAGGAATCTTATCTTCATTTTTATTTCTGGCTACAGTCTTCCAAATGATAAAGAAATTGTATCAAGACCTCAAATATCTTGATATGGCATTATTCCACCCCAAGCTATGCTTACCATGTGGTCATCACCACCTTCACCATTCCAGAAAAGAATTCACATATCTAAGAGATGTAAAATGATTTAAAATCATTTTGACTGGGGACGGGGGGACGGGGAGGAAGAGATAATCTAATATTAAGATTGTTCCATATTATTTATCAACTGATCACTGACACAAACCAAAATTTCCTTTGTTTAAAGAATAATGGGGAGAAACAAATATGGAATATTTTAGCTTACTTTTCAGTCAACCATATATGACATGATTTTTGCAGTTAAACCTCCTAATAACAAATTCCAAATTTGGGTATAACTTCTGCAATCTTCAGATATTGATAATTAGGTATGATTTATTTTACTTAATTAGAGGCAAATGTAGAGCCCAATAAAACACTGTCTTATTTTTATAACAGGTTATTTTGGTCGGTCATTAAAAGTCTTCCATTCCCTAAAACTAAAATACGTTGTTAATTATGAATTAACAATTGCATGAAAGGGAGAGAAGGCCACTGATGATGGAGACAGTTTCTTTTCTTTTTTAGAGTTGATTGAAAAATGTGTGAGAAGTACTGATATTCATTAATGGCCTGTGTGTTTTACAGATTTCCAAACCACGTTGTAAATAGATAGGTTTATTTGAAAATTCATGTTTCAGATAATACTTGCACATAAACCAGCTCAAAAAATGTCCATAAGATGATACTCAAATTATTTATTGAATGCACCAGAAATATGTATTTTACCAGTTTAGGGTCAAAGATGCAAATTATAACAATCAGATAACTGGCAATATTTATGGTTTTAATGTAAATTCTAATAATTACCAATTTCACCTGGGATTGTTGGCATGTGAACTCAAGTCTTTCAACAAGTTGAATACAAAATATCACACATTTAGATTCCTCTAGAGTCTAGAGAATAAAGAATGGGAAGATGGAATACTCTTTTGAATTACTGTATTGTAATTCTTTTAAGACCAAGTCTTTACCTCTTACACTATTTTAGTGAGGATAGAGCATTATTTTGCTTTAACAATAGCACTGCTTCCATTTAATTACTTCCACTTTCATGAGCTTTATTGTAAAATATACAGCTTCTAACAAAACTGTCAATTTACTTCCATTACCAAGTAGTTAAGAATTGTATAGAAGTTGCCATTAAAACAGTCTCCATCTATCTATCTTTGATTGTGAATAACAGTGGCCAATAATTTGAATCCAACCATCTCTATATCCGGGATGTTAAGCAAGTAGTAGTGACTGAACAGCAAACCAGCACAGATGAAATATGAATTAACATTTTTTTAAAAAAATACGTATAATGGTAGCTCCATTAAAAAATCACAGACTGACTTGCAGGTTTCAGTTGCTCCTGCATTTCCAAATCAGATCCAGGCAGGAAAATGTACAGATTTTTTTTTTTAAAAAATTATGTTTGTACAAGTGTATATATTAATTTGTTTCCCAATGTGAAATAAGGAACATGAAAACAATAGCATTTTTCAATGTCATATGTTTAGAAGTGGAATCTAGTCAGACATTAAAATGCTGCTTTGGTTGTTGCACATAATTAGCCTGCTAAGATTAGCTGACATTTCGGCATCTTTATGCAGCTGCAGATAGATATGCAATGGCATGAGTTAAAACCTCTGATTTAATATTATTGGTTTCTGTAACTCAGAATGAGCTTTTCACAGGACTGGATTCAGGACTAGCTCTGCTCCTTCTCTTAAATTCCCTAGAAGGAGCTTAACATTCTGACCCCCCCCCCCAAAAAGTGATGAAATTTCCTTGTCTTTTTGTCAGGAAATAAAATAAATGTAATATAAAGCTCCAGTAATGAAACACTGGAAAATACTCCCAAAGTAGGGGGAATAACAAAAGAATAACAAATTTCAGCGCTGTGCCCTCTGACTTCCTTGCATTATTGCTCCCCTGTTCATTGTCATTCTCAATAGTAATTTCCCAAAAAACATCTCTGCCCACAAAAAAGGTTAGCTCTCCTGCCAAAGCTAACCTGAACCACAGCTTTATTAAACTATCAACACTCTCGATAGGAATCCTCTCCAAGGAATCATTTTCCTTTACTAGAAGAGACCAAGTAAGCAGCATAGAACAACATATTCTATCAAGCATTTTAGTGATTGTCCTCGCCATGCTGGTGGAAGACCTAGAAGGCCCAAAGTCTGAAATAGCAATAGCACTTAGATTTATATAGAGCTTTACAGCCCTCTCTAAGCAGTTTACAGAGTCAGCATATTGCCCTCAACAAACTGGGTCCTCATTTTACCGATCTCAGAAGGATGGAAGGCTGAGTCAACCTTGAGCCAGTGAGAATCGAACTGCCAAACTGCTGGCAGCCAGCAGTCAGCCGAAGTAGCCTGCAGTACTGGGTTCTAACCACTGCACCACCACGGCAATTTTGGGATGAAATATATATATATATTTTAGTAAGAAGGCTATCCATTTAAAGCCTCTAGTACAATTCACACACCTCTAACGAAAAGATGAAGCATACTTCCAAGCTTCAAACTTTGAGAAATTTTCTCTGCATTATCAAGCAGCATACACTGGGATGACTATCCTTCAGGGAACAGAGACAGAAAAACTCATATTCTTTGCTCAGCCGTCTCACTTCAATACAAGACTTGAAAATTTCACCTTCTGTATGGTTTTATATTACTTGGGAAAGTGAAATTGAATTAAATCATAGAAAGTTTAATTGAAATAAGTATTCAAAGATATATTCACTCCTATGAGTGGCTTTATGGTGCAATTCATCACTGAAGACTGTTTTCTGAAAAAAATATCCAAATCAACACATTTAATCTTGTGTGTACAGGTAGCCGTTGACTGACCAGTTTGTTTAGTGACTGTTTGAAGTTACAACAGCGCTGAAAAAAAAAGACACAACCGTTTTTCACACTTATGATCTTTGCCGCATTCCCATGGTCACATGATCAAAATTCAGACAGTTGGCCACTGACTCATATTTATGAGAGTTGCAATGTCCCAGGGTCACCTTTTGTAACCTCCTTACAAGCACAGTCAATTTGGAAGTTAGATTCATTTAACAACTGTTTTACTAAGTTAACAATTGCAGGATTCACTTAACAATTGTGGCAGGAAAGGTCATTTAACCATTGTCTCACCTAGCACCAGAAATTTTGTGCTCAATTGTGTTCATAAGTCGAGGACTACCTGCAAAACCTTTGCAGTAACTTACGACTTGTGGAGACACTTTGGAGTGTTCTGAAGAGCCAGACTTTAATTTTGAGAATGGCATTAAGAATACAATCTCCTAACAACAGTTGTGGGCTCAAGCTAGAGTTGCTATTTTATGTGAGATTCTGCTTAAAGTTTGGTGCTTATCAGAGCCTGTGCCAAAGAAAAAGAGATTTTCAAGGTATGCATATACTTTCCCAGCCTCTGAAGCCTACAAGCTTTCTTTAATTGCTTTTAAAACACTTTAACTAACAACAATAGTAGGAATACAGCAATGGCAAACATAATGTACTTGCATTAGTATACTAGCACTGAATCAAAGTATCAGATACTCATCAAAGACAACTGCAAAGGTAAGGTCTTTAAAACCTATACAAACACATAAACACACACACTCTTCTACATTTTGTGTGTGCAACTATGCCTTTCTAAATTTCACGGAGGAACCTGAGCAATTCCTAAGATGATATCAACTGAGCAAGCAACACTGTTCACATTTGGAATACATGGCCCTTTTATTTCACAAAACACCACAGCAGAACAGATTAAAAACTCAAGCAATCCTTAACGCCCGATGTTAAAATTGCTCTGGACAACATGATTTAATGTGCTGTTTTAAGAAGAAAATGAAAAGAAATGCATTTCAGTTTATTTTTATGGAATGGAAAGACATGGGCAAAAATGAATGGCAACCTTGGGATTCGTTCCTCCATTTCCAAACCTGTACACACATTCCAGCATTCAGGGCCTAATCCCCTTCAGAGTCATCTACCACCACTGCTGATATAATGAACATCCTTTAGACGATAAGCTGGCCCATGGCATTGTGAGAAAGATCTAGTCAGGTTTTTTTAAGGCCACTGGAGATTGCGTGCCCCAACCCTGGCACCAGCTATTTCTGCAAAAGTTCATTTACCTCTTTTTTTCATGTCAGTGCAGCAACAATTCCCCAGTGGCCTTACTTCAGGCACGAGGCAATCTGGAATTCTTCTTCTGACCATTTCTAACTCTGCCCTGGCACTCAGTTCTGGAGCAGGCAGTCTGCCTATGGAGAAAGGGCAAGTCTACTTTTATTCAATATTCAGCGGCTTCACAGAATATATATCCTTTGAACAACAAAAACAGAGCAGAAACTGAATACTCCAGAAATCCACTGAATACTGAATAAAAACATTTGAGGGGTTTTTTTTTTCTCCCCTGCTCCAACAGAAGGGTTCGCTAGAATGGATGTTTTTCTGGGTGAACAAATTTAATAGCCCAACATGCAAAGAAGCTGTTTGGATTAAATTGTTTCGGTGAGATTGCCATTGGCCAGATGTTTAATTAAATAAGCACATTTTTTTTTACATTAAAGTCCCAAGGTTTCTTTAAAATAAAGTTTATCTGAGCTTTCTGCTACTTGATAAGCACAACTAATCTCTCTCTCTCTTACATTCCGGTAGGAAACTAGCATCAAGTTCAATATAAGCCTGTTTATCCCCTCTCTTGATCTCCCCCTCTCTCACACACAAATCTTTCATAAAACAACATTAAAATAAAAGCCCCGAGCAGTTAGTGAATGTAGATTAATACAGTATTTGTTTCAATTCACGCCATCTGTCGTTTTTAGCACACTAAAATATCACAGAGAAAAACGTATGGCTGATAGCACTGTGTCTGTGTCATCAGAAGAGAGATCCATACAAAATAAGGGGAAACTAGTGGGGGAAAAAAAATCCATTTCTCCCCATTCCAAAAAGGATGCAGAGTAATTACAGAGACTCTAGCACAGAAAAAAAGATTTCTTTCAAAGAAGACTTGATACAGAAACAGGATTTAGACGGCTTTTCTACTTTATAGAAATGTCTTATTCTAACAGTTTAACAAATATCCCTAAAACCATCTTGCAAACTGAACAACAGATACTTTCCAGTTAAATATTACTACCTACCTACATAAAACTCTCTTCTTTTTATAGCTACCAACAGATGGCAGTACCTCAAAGTATTTTCTGCTGTGTCTGTCAGATATTAAATTTAACAACCCAACAGTTTTCATGTGAGGAAAATATATTTCTCCAGAGATACTGGTTGAAAAGAAAATTCAGACTGGTTGACATAAGAAACAACGTACAGTTCCACATACCTAAAACGTTGAGCCTGCTGAGCGAGGGGTCCTGGATACCTCCTATTTGGAGACTGGTACAGCTGGGAGAGGATGGCCTGATTTGTTTTTTGGCTTGGATTGTTGGCAAACTTTACGGTGATGGGTTCCGTGGCCCCTGGAGGTTTCTGCCCATTCAAACCCTTGATGGCTTCTTCAGCTTCAATCCGCTTGTCAAACCGGATAAACCCCACACCCCTTGAAACTCCTGAAAAAAAGCAGAAATGAATCCAGCAATTACTTCTAAGCATTATAATAGCCTCCTCCTTAAAAGATCTCTAGGTTTTTTTTTTCTTTTCAGGTATAAGTAAGCCAACAGAATCATAGAAAGCAAAGCACAAAAAATAAACCAGATTCGACAACCGAAGTGGATTTTTATAAGAAACAATATAAGATATAAAGCATTTGCGAACGAGGAGGAACACAAGAGATGGGAACCAACAGGTAGGTGAAACCACATCTATTTATAAGAGATACAGCAGAGTGAAACAAGGCATCAAAATACAGGCAAAACCTTTGTTATGCCCTCCCATGACCTCCAAGGTCCCTTCCAACTTTATTATTATTATTATTATTATTATTATTATTATTATTATTATTATTATTATTATTATTATTATTATTATTATTATTTTAAAAATAATGACTTCTTACACGTGCATTTGATGATTATGACAACAATGGGTGATACATCTGAATCGGAATGAATCTGGCTGTTTGGTATTACATAATGCTATATATTTTAATAATTACCATTAAATTGAATTTATGCTGATAGTTCCTATTGTTCTTTACTATTTTTTGACAATTTTTAATTATTTATTACAAGCTGCCTAGAATTGCCTAATTGAAACAGCACAGAAACATCTATACTACCGCTGTAACAAATATAATATTTATTTGTTAATATTAAATCTGGTAATAAACATGGGTCAGGGTTTAGTGTAATATGACATATTCACATTAAGTTATTTATTTTAATTTAGACTGCCTGAGTCCAAATAACTTTAGTTAAGTTCACAAATAACTACATGAAAACCAACCAATGCAAACCAAAAAGAAGATGGCATCCAGACACAAAATACAGACAAATAAAAATAACAAGGGACTGCAAGGCTTTATGGAACAACCAGGACTGCAAGGCTTTATGGAATGCGAACAGGCTTGGAGCCCAAGATTTCAGGGGAATATCATTCCAAAGAATGGCTCCTACAACAGAGAAGGTGGCTTCCTGAGTCTCAATAGCTGACATTGTTTAATTGAAGTGATCCAGTTCATGCCAACTCTGCCAGCATGTACCAGCCATACAGAAACCATGAGAGTAGGCAGTCCCTTAAATACACCTGGCTATATGCCATAAAGGGCTTTATAGGTAAATAACTGATACCTTTAATTGCAGCTAGAAACACACTGGTAACCAGTGCAGCTCATGGAATAGATATATCCTATAAGCATACTGAGGCATCACTTCACACATCACTGCATTCTGTGGTTGAAACTTCCAAGTGGTTTTCAAGGGTAGCCCATGCAGAGTGCACTGCAACTCAAGCCCTGGGGTGACTAGAGTTTGAGTGACCAAATGAAAAACCTCCTGAATTAGTGCACCATATGGAGATAAACAAAGGCTCCCTTGGCTACAGATGCCAGGAGCAGGAGCTGCGAGTTCCACTAGGACCCTCAGACACCGTCCTTGATTGGGAAATGCTACTCCCATCCAAGAGTATGGATGAAAAGTTCTCTGACCCAGGAAGCTTTAACCCAACCAGTAGAAGGGAATTCTTGTAGCAGACAGCAGGATGAGACATTTCTATTTTGCCATTCAATTTGCACAAGACGTTTTACTACAGAAAAAAAATCCATCAGGAAAATTAATGTTGTTGCAAACAACTATATGGAGACACACAGAACAGTGTGTTGAACTATATGTTCATGTTGTATATGTTGTATATAGCATGTTTAAATGTGTGTTATGTATGTGTACACTTTTGAGAGCAAGCAACTAAATTTAATTTTAAATGACAATAAAGGTTATCTTATCTTATCTTATCTTATCTTATCTTACCTTACCTTACCTTATCCTATCTTATCCTCTCCTCTCCTCTTCTCTCCTCTTACTCTGTGTAGCTATGCTTTAGAAGGAATTCTAATTTAAGGAAAATTCCCTGACATACTTATTGAGTTCTCAGGAAAAAAAAACCTGGGTACCATGTAATTAAAAAAAAAACCCCTATATACATGCACTTGTACCAAATATTGATCCAGATAAAAAGCCTATGGAAATGAAGTTCAACGTATTGAAAACCAAGACATCTAGATATATTGTTGATTTGCATCTATGCTGTAAAATGGCAACTTCTCCCAAACCAGCAATAAACCTGAAGTGAGAGAACTGAAATGCAGTAAATAAATACACACATACATAATCAAAAGTGTAACTATAGGTGTATTTAAAATAATACAATTGTCAGTCCTGGAAAGCTTATGGGATATTTACTTTATAGTTATTGCTATTATTACCAGGGGAAAGACAGAGAAAATATTTAAACATCTAAGGGGGGGGGGAGGAGAAAATATCTATTTTGATGACCACTTTAAAGTAGACTTTTAACAATTAACCTTATAACAACTACCTATAACAATCTGTCTTATGCTATCACCACATACTTCTGCCAGCCTGTCTCCTACAGCAAAACACCTTTATTTTCAAGGTAAACAGATACTATCCTCAGAAGCCTGCAATCTCCAAACAGCCAAATTTCTCTTTTTATTTTTCTTAGTCAAGGAATATGAAGGTTTGGATGTTTAATTTGGAATACAAGAAGGGAGCAAGGCAAAACGGATAGACCCACTTTTTTCCATACAAGGAGGATATGTGGCTTTTTCTTTTCTTGTTGCTTGTAAAGTGCTATTTGCTTTGTTCTGCTAACTTCTGATCTAATCTGGTGTTATTAGAGGAAACTATCCTTTATTAGATGGTGTTTTGATCTAGTAACAGACCTTTTCATCTCTCCCTTAAAGTGATTATGATGAAGACAGCCTCCGAGAAACCCAGCACAGCAATCCTAGACTTCCTGACTTAGAAAAAGAAGCTCCTGCTGTGTTCAGTGAGACTTATTCCCACACATTACACACAAAATTGTAGCAAAAAAAAATTAATTCTTTGTGAAGCTACAATTCTATGTATATTTACCAGGGATCAATTCCACCGAATTCATTAGGATTTACATAGAATTGTGTGGTTAGATAGCTAAAAGGCATTATTCTATTTATTTATGAATTATATCAAATAGCAATTTTGTATTATGACAGAATTTATACTGCTACATTTAATAGAGAAATATTTACTACACTATATTTTGCAAAAAATATTTTTTTCTAAAAATGTCATTTCTTTCCCCAGAGCTTCAAAAGTTTGGAGATGTTTTGTCTTTAAAGAGGCAGCTCATTTAAGTTCAGATAAATAGTTCTGAAATCTTGGTTGCAGCAACTTGTGATCCATTAATCACTTCTTTCTATCAACAGTGATGACTAAGAAAGAAATAATAAGATATAAGCAGGAGACAGTAATATATATATAAATGCATTATCATTCTCTCGGCTCTTGGTAAAATCTATTCCTTACAAGGGAAGCTCACAAATTCAACTTCTAATATATGAGGCAGGTTTAAGAAAATACTTATCTGAATCTATAGAAAAGAATATTTGTAGCTCAGGGTTGATGCATTTTGAGGTTGGTTGTTTTCTTGCAGACATTTCATTACCCAAACTAAGTAACATCATCAGTGCTCATCATCTGACAATGTTACCTAGTTTGACTAATGAAACATCTGCAAGAAAACAAGTTTAGAAAGCACCAAAAATTACTTATCTGAACCTGAACATCTGCCATTGGAACACAGGTATTTTTAGTGGGAGCAGAATTCGATTTGAAATTTAAAAATATAGTTGATAGGTATACTCTCCACAAATTTAATAATTTTCCATTTGCTTAAGCAAGTTTGCTTAAAAGCATGGTGGTACAATTCCAGTAAATACCACATTAACTCACGTGTTCCAGAAATTCCAGATTGCAAATCTGAACTCCAAAATTATTGTATTTCAAATTTTAGCTTTTCATCTAAATTTCCTTTTTTAAAAAACTATCTGTATAGCTCAATTTTCTTAACTATCATTTTTAGTTACATACATTGTATGTTATAAACAAACTGAATTTTATCTCTAGAAACTCTTGAAGGTCCTTTGGTTATAACTTTACATTTGAAAAATATTTGGCGATATATGCTCAGGTTTGCAACTAGGATAAATTTTGCTTAGGTTGGTTTTAAGGGAGAATTTAAGTGAGTGTCTTGATGCATAAGACTTTGAAAAATCCAATAGGCATACATGCAAGCAGCACATAGTACTTTTCACAATTCAAAAGCTGTTTAAAAAAAACACCCAGTGGTTGATGTAACTCTATCAATTCAATGCCAAAAAGAAAAATAAATATTAAAATAAAAATCTAATTATACAATATTAGAAAACCTTGTTTTTTGAGAAGCAGATTCGTTTCATCATTCTTGTGGGAAACAAAATGTCGCATGCTATTTTTGCACTAAATGGGACCCAAGTGTTATTTTAAAATCTCCTTATTTTATTAAAACAAGTCATAAATGTACCCTTTTTTTTTGCTTGAAACTTACTTCAAACTTTTGAAGGAACCCAGTCAGGTTGTTAAAATGTAAGTGCGTACACAAGCCTAATGAATATTTTCCTAATATTTTCTAATATCTATGAAAATAAAGCACTCAAATTCTTGTAGGGAGTATGTTCAATAGTATAATCTGCCCAGTGCAGTGCATTGCATTGCTTCATTTATATCACATACAGAAAGATAACAAAACCAATGTATTCACTGAGCTGGCAATAACTGGAGAACAAAGATTGAATTTAATAAAAAGTGAACTCCTCAATATTTATGTATCAAATCAATCTTCCTTTTTTTAAATCCAGTGTTTTGTTTTTCTCATTATCCTAAGATGGAAAAAATGTGAATTGTAAGGTTTGTTTTGAAGCCTCAATAATTATGAGTTTGTATTTCACATTTTCTTAGTTTAAGGAAACTGCTAAGAAGCACAAGGCTTTACTTTTTTTTTTCTTTTAAAATATACACAGTTTTTTTAGCATTTTATAAGGAATATTTTCATTCAATGCTCGAGATTACAGCAACTATAAATTTATTACAAGGCATGAAACAGGCTTCAAATATGCAGCTTCAAGGTGGAAATGACTCAGCCTTGCCTGACTGCAAACCAGGAGTTATTTTTATCCATGCATATTTATGAACAATTCCAGCAGAAAATTGTATTTTCTGCCCCACATAAACTTTTTTATGTTCAATATTTTGAAGGCTGAGAAAGACAGAGCAGAGCAGCTTTCTACTTACCAGTGACTTGGTCAACAAGAATGCGGGAAGTAATAATACGTCCATATTGGGAAAACAGCTGTTCTAGTTCTTTCTGAGTCATGGTTTTGGGGAGACCGCTGACGTACAAGTTTGCATCTCTAATAGAAGCTGAGCTTGGCCGTGCATAAGAAACCTGCATAATGAAAAAAAAAACCTTGATCATGCAAATGACAGTATAATTGGACTAGAAGGTTGCCTACTTCTAAAAACACATGTGTAACTCTACTTTCAGATCATACATCCTTGGCCATTTGTATAGGAACTTAATGGGATTATATTAAACCACAAGGACACCCAATTTGTTTGGGACCAGCATATTCTCTGTGGCTGTTCTTCTTAGTTGCCCTAAAGCAGGGATAGGGAACCGTGGCTCTTTTATGACTTGTGGACTTCAACTCCCAGAATTCCTGAGCCAGGAATTCTGGGAGTTGAAGTCCACAAGTCATAAAAGGACCATGATTCCTCACCATTGCTCTAGAATTTCCTAGGGAAGTAAAAAAGGTGAAAGTGGACAAGAAAGTTGGCATGCCACACATTAATGGTGGTACCAAATCCTACTGTGCCCCTGCAGGGTTTTTTTTTTTTTACCCTTTACCAAAAAAAAGTTAAAAGCCAGGAAGTGAGAAGACAAATACAACCCTTGGACTTGGTAATGGCAGCAGAGAGGGCTAAAAAGAACTGATAACAAATATTCAGGATTATATCATCTAGAACAGGGATGTCAAACTCGCAATGTCACTTCACGTGTCGCAATGTATTGCAACTTTTTTTTCCATTGCAGCAATGGGGTGGGCGGTTTCGGCATCTGGCCCACGGGCTGGCAGTTTAACACCCCTAATTTAGAATGTATAAATGCTCTTCAAGTGTATATTGGCAATATGGACAACATCAAGGGACATTTTATCATGCTTGATAAATAGATAAAAAGGTAAAAAATTTTGGATCCCAATATATACTTTGATACACAGAATTTTAAATATTAAATATTCAGTTGAAGGCAGACCTTTATGATTAATGGACAAGCAGTTAGAAAAAAAGCTATGGAACACTATTTCAATATATGATTCAGCCACTAAGGAGGAATAGTTGGTGAAGTTGACAGATTTTGCTGAAAAGGGTAAATTAATTTATTTGATTAGAGAAAATCTACATTTTTATGTAGAGATTATCTACATTTATTGTTGAATGGAAGCCTCTTATGGACTTCTTGCATAAAAATGAAAAAAATCCTTGTGACTTAGGGTTTTGGCAATTAAACTAGATTGTAGAAATAATAATATAAGGTAACTTTAAAAAGAGAGGTTAAAATATGTTTGTATTTATAACTGCTGTGAAGAATACTGAAAGTTACCTCTTTATACTCTTTTCTTTGTTTTCTATTTTTTTACCTTTTTTCTTTTCTCACATTTTTTGCTTTTACTTTTTCCCTGTTTAGTACCGGTTACCTTAGATTTAATTTACCTGTTTAAAAGTCTTAAGAGCTATTCTCTTTTTTTAAAAAGGACAAAGAATGGAGAGACATGGAAGCAGTGCAGCATACAGTAATATTTCAATTTGTTTTGCCGTGTGCCATGCTGTCAGATTCATCCCACCATAACTCCATTGCATAACCCCTTTCTTTACCTGCTGGTGTTCTGATGCCGCTACTGAGCAAGGCTAGGGTAATGATGTCATTGCATGCGCTCATATGCCATAAACGTCTTATTCCTTGCTTGCCAGGAAAAACAAAACAAAACACCACACCAGCCAGTTGGTTTTTTCCTCATAATTGCCAATTACCAACAAATAGATTTTTTTACTGGCAAGGAATAATTAAGGCATCTATTTTTGTTTCCTTCTTCTTGGATTTAAAAAAAAAATTCCGGAAATGAAGTTATGTCAATTGATTTCACTGGCTATACTGTGGACACCCTACTGATAAAACTACTATTAAGATATCATTAATTTCTGTCTTGTTATGAGTGAAGCTCAGGAAGCCAAAAATATTTTCTGTTTTAAGCTGAAAACTGAAGTATAAACATATTTCAGGAAAGCTTTAGTCCACTGCCCCCTTATTTGCGCTTTTCAATTATTATATTAGAGAACGTTGGCAGGAAAATTACATGTATGTATAACAAATGCAAAAATATAAATAAGTGCTACCCCGTGTTAGCAATTGCATAAAATGTTCGATAGTTATTATTAAAAAGGGTGACTTTATTTAGGGAAGTTATTTCACACAGTTTAGAATACATTTTTTGAAAGTTAAGAATGTGTAATCTAAACTTTGTGAAATTAGTGCCAGCTTGCGAAAGGGTGCTGTAACTAATCATCAAATGTTACAGCACAATGGTTATGATAAACAGTAAATATAAGCAAATATATAAAACTGTTTTATCACACATTTTTCTTTGTAGGTCAGATTAACATTTTTAAATGTATTGCTTTTCAAATAAGGAGTTGCACTGACTTTTAGAAGTCCTTTGAGATTTTTATTGGTAAGATTTGATAAGATATCTTTTCAGTTATTTTAACCCAATTGAAATACATAATCCTTTTCACTGAAACCGTAATTTTAATTTAAAAGTACGGCCTGGAATTCCTTACGTTGTCTTAAAAATTCATCAAAAATTCATTTACAAAGTTATACAATACTCTTACGTGATTCGTTAAGACACACTAAATTGTCTACAGAACATTATTTGCTTTGCAAAATTGCTTGGCACAATGCCAGCTAATTATTTTCCAAACAAATTGGTACTTTGGAGCCCTGGTGCACAAACACTTTTCACGCACTCAAAAAGATATTCTGGGGCTCTAAGTCAGAGACGCCAAAGTGAATAAGAGCCCCAAATACAAAAGTATTTCAAAGAAGAACCGCTGACCAAAATAGCACACTGTCTCTTGAGTATAAGGAGCCCTAAATAAGAAGCAAGTAGAAATTGTAGAAATTTCATTTTAGAAATTCATTCTGTGTGAATTCTGTAGCTATGTGGCCCAGTGGTTAGAATGCAGTATTACAGGCTAACTCTGCTGACTGCTAGCAGTTCAATCCTCATTGGCTGAAGGTTGACTCAGCTTCCATCCTTCCAAGGTCGATAAAATGAGGGGGCAGATTGTTGGGGGCAATATGCTGACTCTGCAAACCTCTTAGAGAGAGCTATAAAGCACTGTGAAGTGGAATATTAGTCTAAGTGTTATTGCAAGTGCTATTTTTATTTTACATTTTTAGACTTAATTACGAACTGAAATTTATTTACCAAAAATACATTTTTGAAATTTCAATATTCAGAAATGGAAAAGATGAATTGGGGATGGTCAGTACAGAAATCCGTATACCCATGAAAATAGTATTTGCAGAAACTGTGCCTAAAAGAAAAAAGTGAAAAATGTGCACCATAATGACCCAGTGTGAATTCAATTAATTCTTAAAAGATCAACCAATCTTATCTATTTCAAAACTGACTATGCTGGAACTGCTTAGGTCTGTTTACTCATAGCCTTGGGAGAGTCACAACACTATGCACAGGAAGTGATAAAAATCAATAATGAATCTGCCCTAAGTGCATAAGAAAAAGATATAAGTAAAAAATAACATATTTTTGAGAACATCTCTTCTATAAAAAAAATGTTGCTTTTGAATTTTGGGGTAGAAGTCCCCTAAAAGAAAAAGGGAACAGTTGAGCTCTGGATAGCCAGATTACAGTTTTATGGGTGTCCCTGCCTCAGTCCCGCATTTCAATATATTGTCTTCCATTCTAACTAATCAATATCTGTTTGTGAAAGAAATATATTCCATTATATGCAGGTTACATAGCATCCAAGAAACAGAACAATTTATAATTTAATGATATTTAAAGTGCAACATCGTGTCATCATTTCAGAATTGCCAATTTAACGGCTTATTTTAAAAAATTGGTTTTCATAATTTTGTTTGTTTGAAAACACATTTACACATAATCATAAATTGTTTCTATTTGAAAAATGTACATCCTCCAATAAGATGTAATCGCCTTTGCACATTTCACTATACAAAATCTGAGTACATTTTGTGAAGTAAGATTAATGCCACTGCATAAATAAATTTCAGTTATTAAAACAACATTCTGTTTGGCAGTTTCGATTTCTTTGTGGATTAACCAATATGCTATTGATCAGAAGGTTTTCAATGAAAACTGAAAACTCTATGGATTCACACAAATACGTTTAATTGACTGGAAAATGTCCTGTTCAACATTTTTTGGGGGCGGGGGGGAGAATCCACATTACTATTTATTTAAAAAAGAATCTACGTTAGAATAAGGATAGGATCCAGTCTGGATTGGTCACTGAGACCAGGTGTTTTGTCTTACAAACTGGAGGATAATGTTGCAGGATCTAATCTGAGTTGGTCATCAGTGCCTGTTGTAAGTCGCTTTTTAAATGTTGACTGCGGTGTAAATACCACACACAGAACACACAGTCTGCTAGAGAGAAGTTACCTGAAGATGGGTCCAGCACGAGTCCGAAAGCTCAGAAGACAAAATCTCTAGTCCTTGGGACCAAGCCAGATTAAATCCTGCAACATTATCCTGGGACACATATATTTGCCTTCATTCATGAGAATAAGGATAATTGGACATAGATTTGAGTTTGTTTTAACCCAAATATATTCTAAGTAAGTATGAAGACTTAAGTTTCATACTCACACCAGCCATGTTTATGGAGATTCTCAATCATGCAGGTCATGGTTATCAGAACTGAAGAAGCTTTTTTGATGAGAAGCAAAACATTTTCAAAAAAATGTTCAAAAAAACTAAGTCCAGTGCCTTTTGAAAAGCACCCTTGGGACACAACAGCCACGATGTAATTGCCAAGGTCAAAGTTGGGAAACTTTGCCTTCATGCATACTCTTAACTTTGAATTGGTTTGATTGCTAAATTGGAAACATTTCCCCAAAATATAGCAATCATGGCATCAATACCTATTCACAATTAATAATATTAAGCCTAGAGATTAGCCAAAGCAACAATTGCCTGGCTTCATCTAAGTAAAATTTCTGTTCACTTACTTGAGTTGTGAGCTTGGGTGAACGTGAACAAGAAATTGGGATATAGGCTTTACCAATTTTAAATTTCCCCCAAATATAAGCTGCCAGTGTAATATTCTCTATCT